CTGCTTAACCCCCAGAGAACCATTGCCCTTTGCTATTGGCAACGGAACCTATACAGAGCTGGCGAGGAAACAGCAGCCCTGTAAGCACCAGGGATAAGGAATTGCAGCAACCCCTGGCATGAAGGTAGTGTGATTGTATCAAGCTAAAATGAGTCACTGCATGCTGCTGGAGTTGTGTGCCCTGAGGAAACTCTCTCTTTGACATAATCTTTCCTTAAAAGTCAGACCTTTCCTCTGGGAAAGGGAAGTCTTGGCTTAGGCTGACCTACCTCACTTGGTTTTGGCTGGAGAAAGACATTTTTCCTTGGCTGCGCAAAACAGCCCATGACTTTCACTCAGAGCCTCTCTGAGAACATTTTTAAAAACTATTACTTAATTCATTCTAATCAGGCAGCACGAATCCTGGTTCCAAAAGTGATTTTGTTCTCCTAGCCTGATAAAATGCCCATCCTTTTATTCAGATACATCTTCCTCGCCCTAACAAATGATGCTGAAGGTTTCACAGGTCTTGGAGAGATGCTCAAGTCTCGGCCACATTCTCCCACTATCGTCTGACAGCAATTTATGTTACTGCAGAATTTGCCTTATTGAAACTATTTGTGGAATGGAAATTCACACAGATTCATGCACAGAAGATGACTCTGCTTAGTGATGATGTATGAAGCGATCTCATTTAACATCCTTGAAGGCAGTGGGAATTTCTCATGAGGAACTGCACCACAAATCTTGAAGCAGAGAAATCTTGACTTAGTGATGTTCTGTGTATTCCCTAGACAAGCATATAGAAAAAAATCATTTTATTATGAATGACATAACGGAGCACACTGTAAGCTTTCACTAGTAGAAAATTTGCTTACTGCTTGGTTCGCACACGTTTTGCACCTGGCCAGACGTGCTGGTTAGGTGTGTGGCTTTTCACTTTAACGCTTTCCCTGGCTTATTTGCTCAGCGTGGATACAGTTACATACATTACTATACTTGTCCCTTTTCTCCAGCTGTCAAACTGCCTGCCTGCTGAGTGCCCAAGACTTCAGACAAGCAGGAGCCAAATCTAGCCAAGACATTCTAATAATACAAGGATATCTTATACCAGCATCACTTATTCCAATTTGCACAGGATACATACAGCAACTTTACATAGATGTAACCATCACCAGAGGGAGTTGCTCCACTTACAGTAAATGACTGTGGCCCAACTGTTATGTGTAGATAAGATGTAGTTTAAGAGAAAATGGCATTTGATTTTCTCTCTTTCTTGTAATAATAGTTTTAAAAACATCATAGGTCATCAAATACCTAGCATTTAAAGTAACACAACTCAGAAATCTGCTTAGCAGTAAATTTTAAATTTCTAATTATTGCCAGTGGCTGTGTTTGCTAAGGATTTGTGCCTGATTCCTATAATTACTTCACAAGCTGCTAAGAATGCTTGATACTAATAGTTGGAGCCATAAACTACTTTGTTAAACAAGAAATTTTTCAGAAAGTCAAAGCTGCTTCTTCTCTTTTATTTGTTTTCCTTTTTTTTTTTTTTTTTTTTCTCTTTTTTTTGGTGAATGGGCCATTCAAAAGGGATCTTGATAAGACTTGAACTGCTCTGTAGTGGGAGTGAGGAACCTCTGTAACTGAGTGGACTGGAGTCTCTCTTGGTTTAGGTGTGCACTGGATTCCAAATGGGAGGGCAATGTGGCTATGAAATGGGCGAACACTGTCCTGCAGTTGTCCTGTGATGGCACAGCCCTGCCAGGGACTACCAAGAAGAAGAATATCCAGAAAAGGTGAGAAATATGTTCTTTCCAGTGTTGCCAGCTGAAGAAGTTTTTCGTAATCCAATAAAAAATGTAAAATCCCTTGCCTAGTTTCCAAGACAGACTGGAGATAGAAGCATGTGAGGAATGGAAATGGGTGGCATGAAGAATTCCCTATTCAATGTGAATATACAGCATTGAAGCACAGAGCCCTTGCCTAGGCTGAGCTGTTATAACTCTAGCACTTTGGTTGTGCAGATAGAAGAAGGTCTAATTTCAGCAAATCACCCACCCTGTGCCTCAGTTTCCCCAGCTCATAGCAGGGATAATCCACTCCAGGCATTGCATTCCGTACTTTGGGAAGTTAAGATGACATGGTTGTGTGCACGAGCCCTTAGTGTTATGGCATCAACATTCATTTTTGTGTGAAGACCATGACCAGCTGTTGAAGTTTGGTCCTGCAGGAGAATTCTCACTTCTTTGGTATAAAATCCGCAAGCTGTAATCACAGACCCTAGTTTCTCCTGGGTAAATGTCAATGCTGTATATCTGCCAGAAGAAAGGCCAGTAAATAGTGTCTGAAGTAGCTATTAATCTTTAGATTAGTTGCTCCAAGTCCAGATTGCAAGTATATGAAACAAACAACAAAAATGAAATTAAATTAGGGAGATGTATCATGAACAATTGTTGTTTCATGCTGGTTTGGGTTTCAGCAAGAGCACAGACAAGTAAAGTATCAGCACAAAGACATAAATTAAGTAGGAATACTCTAAGAAAAAATCTTGTTTATTCTGTGCAACCAGCCATGTCATTTGTCACCTTACAAGACAGGAGTCAGGATCTTGGTGGGAGCTCCTCGTTGTGCCTGCAAGGTGCTTTATCAAGGTGCAGATATTAATAATGCAACAAACAGGGGAGTTTTGTTTTTGAAAGGAATTGAAGGCATCCTGCTGTGTCAGACAAAGTTCTCTGAACAATAAAAAATAAAGCCACAAGTTGAAGTCTTATGGTAGCGATATATTCCTCTCTGGATGTCCTGAAGATGTCTAAGTGTGCCTTTCACTAACTCCAGCACAACTGCTGATTTCAGGTGACATTGGGATGAGATTTGGGTGGAGATGACAGGAACCTGTAGGTGCTGAGCTCTGCCTCTATCTGAAGGTAACACTTCAGTCATCAGGGAGTCACTTTGCATCCGTAGACTGACCTGTGGACATGAGTTGTCCACAGTTGTCATTAAATACAGAAGAGAAGACAGCCTGAGGGAGATGACCTGTTTAAAGGAAAACTGGGACAAATACTTTTTTAAATGGGTGACTACACCTCTGGGAGAGAGCAGAACTGGCAGGATGGTGCAAAGCAGGTGACAGGGACCTGGAGCCATGCTTTCTGCTGAGACGGTCTTCTCAGCAGCCTGGTGGAGGGTGATGAAGCCTCTGTGACATGAGAGGCTCTCCAGCCCAAATGCACGCTCCCTGTCCCCGTCCACGCCTGAAACAACTGTGCCGCGGAGTCCCCCCAAATCTTGTCAGCCCCTCAAAACCCCACTCATGCCTTAGGGAGTGACTGTCATGTAGTTGCAGGAGCAACCTGTAGATCAAGCAGTGATGAAAATTATACAAATGCAGATCAATATACAGTCATTGCACCTCCGTAGAGATCCTCTCTAAGACACTGGCCATGAGAGCTCCTTTGGGAGTCCGTGGACTCCATGCAGAGGCTCTGCAGGTCCCAGGAGGACCTTCTTAGATTGCTGCAGCTGTCAGGGAGGTGACCCTCCCCAGTTTAACTCTTCATTCTCTTTCCCCCACCCTTCTTTCTCTACTTTCCTCCCTTAATAGTAATCCCTGCTTGGCTTTTCTTACCAACTAAATTCCCTGGCATGAACAGAGCAGGTTTTGTTGCTAAGAAGCTTTCTACAATGGTAGAGATCTGGACAGGACTGTCGTAAGGCACAGTTACTGCTATAAACCCTGTAAACCCCTTATATCTAAATAAATCAAATATATTCCATTAAATATAGAGCTTTTAAAACCCACACCTCACTTGTTCTTCAGATTCCCATCACCATATTCTGGCAAGCTTGGAAATTAAATCCTTTGTCTATGACACATGCAGCTGTTGACACTTAGGCATGGATCAAAGTGACTTGCCACAGCTTTCAGGAGTAAGGAAGAACTGGAAGACTTTTGTGTTGGTCCACAGAGTCTAACACTCCTGTGCAGACCCATTTTACAGCAAATATAAAATAAACTCAATGCATCCAGCAAGCCTCTACTCTGCTCTGCCTAGGCTATAGAGCGGGGCTACAGTCAGGGTAAACTGAAGGCAAGCAGGGCTTAGTGCTCGTATCTCGACCAGCTTTGTGGTTCCATTTCTTCCATCATTCCACGTGGAGGCTGGACAAGCTTTTGGAGGAGAAATTCATGGAGGATCATAAAATAAACAGCCCCTGCATTTGGCCTAGGAAGCCTTGAACAACATTACTGAAGTCTGTGAAATTATATGCATGCATACGTATACATATGTATATGTGTATCTATACTCATGTATATGTAACAGTTGCCCTGTTCTTATACTTTTTCTTTGGCACCTGCCTCTGCCTCTGTCCCAGGCAGGACGCTGGGATGCTTTCAGCCTGATTTCATAAGTCCATTTTTGTCCTTCAGGCACTTGGGTGCCTGAATGTCCGTGTAGGTGTCTAATACCCCACGTCCAGTCTCTCTGTCTCTCCCATTGTCAGGCACAGCCTGACTCACATCCCCTTCCTTGCTTTCCATTTGGTCATGACATTTCTAAACCACTTTCCTTCCCTATTCCCCACCCATGCATGTGGATTTATTTTTCCCCAATGGCCACGTCTTCCTTTTCTTTGAAATCATTTGCAGAAAGCTAACGTCAACTTGGTTTAATTAAAGCGCCTGCATGTTTATCATGTCTTTAAATCACTTCCTTCAAGCAATCTTCATATGAAGTTATCACTTTGTCAAAACATGACCCAAAACCACCGCTCCGGGCGCAGTGGGAAGCACACAAAGGGAGAGCAGAGTAGCTTGGAAGGTTTGGGTGAGCTGTTTGCTAGAAGCTGCCGAGCCCACCCCTCCAAGACCTTTATTTCCCCCTGCGGCAGCTGTCATCTGATCCCACGCTTTGGCTTTGAATGGGGCTCTCTGAGGATGCCAGATGTTGGGAACAAAGGTCTAAAAATAATCTTTCCCAATAATCTTCCCATCTATCATTCAAGGAGAGCATGTGCTTTGTGTGAACATGGGAGGTGAGAACCTGATTGAACTTTGAGAAAAGAAGTTCAACAGCAGCTCAGCAGCTCCTGGCTTCTGCTTGTGGGCTCCTTTTTTTTTTTTTTTTTTTTTTCCCCTTTCCCTTCCCAGAAGCTGCGCAGGGAAAAGCGGCTCTCACCAGCGATCAGCCCTCGCTCTCCCTCCCTCCCCGGCTCCCTCCCTCCTTGCCAACGCTCTGAATCATCTGGATCCTGAAAGCCGGGCTCCTAATTTGATCTCTTCTTGGGAAAATGGATTCCAGGGTGCTGTCAGAGATGCATTTCTGTAAAAAGATCTTCACTGCAGCCTTGTGTGTCTTAGTTTTGCTGCCAGATTCGGGTTGTGCAAGGAATCTCTGGAAGCGTGCTCTACATCTGAAAATGACGGAGAAATATGATGTGAGTGAACTGCCGTGGGGTGATCTGGGGGGAGCTGGGTGTGCTCACCGTGAACGGGGAGTTTTCTTTATGTGTGTGTATATCTTTTAGAATGAGGAGTATTTGAATCTGCAGGCTGTCTCTTTTATAAAAGGGTTGCATTAAGTTTCCCAGGCTGTACTAAACTTTTGCCACCTAGCTGCTGCAATGGGAAACTTGCAAAGCACGCTTGGAACAGTGAGAAGACCTTGGTATCGCAGCCCTCACCGCTTTCCCTAGAAACTTCATAGGGCAGCAAGGGAAGCGTGAATGGAGAAAAGGGGAACGCAAAACCTACGTGTCTGGGGATAGAGTCAGTGAAAAGAAGATAATGTGATTTATTGCTTAGAGCAGGGAGGAGAGTCCCCCTCCCAGCAGCCCCACCGCCTTTTGGGGTAACTTTGGGTAAAGGTCTCCGACTCCTAGTGATCGTGTGTACTAGAGAGAAGGTGGCAATGCTTAGGGGTTTGTACATCGCTGGAGCACAGACACCTCCAGATCCACAGCGTCAGAGTAGCGTGCTGATCCCCGTAAAGGGCGTAAGGAGCCGATCAGAGAAATCCATTCTCACGGCTGTGCCTTGCCTGGCATGTTCACGGGGAGCAGAGCTCCCCTCTGCTGCCCACACCCTGGCAGCTGCTCCGTGGCACCGTCTGTCACTGCCCGCTTTTGGCAGACTTGGGTGGGGTACTGAGCGCGACCACCCTTTCCAGATTTGCAATGGTACTTAGAGCAGTAGTGCTCGAATTGAAACTGAAGCAGCGACAAGTTACTGTGAGCAGAGAAAACGGTGGTGCTGGGTCTTGTTCTGGGGTGTCGGGGTGAAAAGACTGTCAGAAATGGCCATGGAGGAAATCGTAAAAATAAAAGAAAAGGAAAATAATTTGATAGCTGGACTTTCAGGACCTGCTGTTTAGAAAGAAAAAAATTTGAATTTGAAATTTTGATTTACTCCATTGAAGTCCCCTTAGAAGCCAGCACTGACCCAAGGCTTCTGCCCCTTCAGTCACCTAGGTGGAAGCCCTGGCCAGTCTGTTTTCTCATGCTCAGGTCTGATTGCATCTTCCAGCCATTGCATGTGCATAAACAGCAACTTGGTGTCACATGGGGATTCCTCCACCTGTTTTCTGCAGCCACATATAAAAGCTTTTAATTTTAAAAAGATACATTTTTGCCCATGACATCTAGAGTGATGTTTGGGGACAGCTACATTTGGGTTGTGCGATTGCTGACTCAGAAGTGTGACACATGTCTTTTGCCCATGCTGAATGAACTGGAATACAGTGCTCTTGTCTCCTTCAAATTTTGCAGAAAACATTGTGCTGACACTTGAAAGGCACCCTGCTATTTTACAACAAGAAATTTTCTTCATTGTAGCCTCCCTTGGGACAGGGTATCATTTGGTTTGCACTTTCATTGGAAAATCGTGACGTGAAGAGCTGTGTTTCCTGCAAAATCACTCACTGGAAAGTGTATTTATTAGTACGTTCTTCTGTCATATTTCGATGTGAAGCTCAAATTCAATAGGAGCTATGAAGTAAGTGACCCCAAGAGATAGGACAGGAGTTTACATGTTGATCTTCAGATAATGTGCTCTGTAGAGACACAGAGCCTGCTCCCCTGAGGATATAACTGGTTTTTCTGGCAGCTGTGAATCCAGGTGCTACCGATCTGGCACGCTCAGCTAGAATTGCTCATATTAACAGAAACATCTTATCTAGGGAAAACAGAAAATGCTTTTCTTTTTCCTTCGCCTTGTAAGGAGGAAGGCACCCGCTCTCCATCCTCTTACCCACCAAGAGTCTGTTTTGGCAGCCCCCCTTGTTTCTCAGAGAGATGCTTTCTTTTCTACCAAATGCTTTATGTTCCCTACAGTTCGAAAATTAGAGGCTGTGGGCGGAACAGCTGATTTGTGAGTCACTTGGATAGAGGGATAACAGATGGAGATGCTTATGGCACCGTGGAGCCATACAGGAGATGGGCCATAGACATCCCTGAGGGACCCCCAGAAGGACACAGGCAAGGTCTGCAGGGGGAGGAAGCGGTGAGGGGTAGGGAGTTGACTGAGAGTTATGTTGTCTGAGTCCAAAAAATCTGAGTCAACAGTAGGAGGAATGCATCCACCAAACTGCTGGCCACAGAATGACGAGCAGGTGTTGCAATGAGGAGCTGGCTTGAGGTCTGGCCAGGAGTTTTTCATCGTGTCTGAGGAAGCGTGTTGGTTGGCAAGGAGGGGTCAAGTGGGAACGGCGAAGGGAGGAAGAGGAGAGGGAATGCAGTGAGAAGAAAAAACTGGCACTCACAGTGGGATGGAGGAGCTGGGTTTCCAGCTTTTAGCAAATCCACATTATTTTACAGCCAGAGGGACCCTTGTCAAGTTTAGTGATTTGCAGCTGGTGTTCTGCAGCCCCCACACAGTCTGTGGACTGTTCCCAAAGGGCAGACGGAGGGAGCTACCTGGGAGTGGGCTTCAATTCATGATCAAGACACCCACATGTCTATTGGGAAAACCTGGGGCAGTCTTCATTTTATTCCAGTGATGACTGCATCAAACATTTTAGAAAAAAATCCAGCCTTCTTTTAAAGATTTCCAGAAATGAAGAATTCCTCTCAGCTGCTGTAATGTTCTTCCAGCAATTTATTTACCCTCCAGCTAGCTGTCATAAATCAACACTGAGATATCCTCTTCATCTACCAGATCAGCACACCTCCCATGAGATTTCTGTCCCCCATATGCCTCAGAGTAACGTATGAGCAGAGCAGCCCTCAGCCTCCCCTTTGAAACCCGCATGCATGCATGTAAGTCTTGCACTGTATTCCCTGCTTTCCAATCCTCTAATCGCTATCGTGCATCTTCTTTGAGCCCACCCTACTTTTGCAACAATCTTCCAGTACTGCAGACACCAGAACCAAAATTACTAATCCACAGTCAATAGCAGGAGAATATTATTCCTATTGTTTTGGTCTTGTCCTTCAGATTATTTAACCCTCCTTCAGTCTGATATTTGCAACTTTGATCACCAATGATCTATGTTTTTCCAGGTCTTTGACAGAAAGATTGGAGGGCTCTAAACTCTTCCTGCCTGTGTATTGTTTCAGAGAAAAGGTGGTTTATGGCCAGTGCTTGGAAATACCTGCCAGGGCAGAACTGGTGACCAGAGACTGGGAATAAACCTCACACATCATCTTGGGGGTGGCCATGCAGAATATGAATTAGCAGAGAATTGTGCTTTGACAGAAGCCCAGGGTCCAGTTTTTCAGGCACAAATAATAGAACAGATCTGGGGTTTTTTGGAGGCAGACTGCGTCCCACAGTTACTGTTGAAAATACGGGTTGAGAGTGAGTGACTGCATTCAGGTTTTTCCTAGTCACCTTTACCGACTTCCACGGTTCCTCAGCTGAACTCTGAACTTTTCCCCTTACTTTGTTTCTGGCTATCTCTAAAAGGCAGGTATTGTCATTAAAATTATTTAATAAGTCTCCATGGCAAACAGCAATTTGCCTCCTGCCTTGAAAAATATTCTTAAAGGAAGAAATTTTGACTGTTGTCACAATCTGTAAAAATAATAAATCCAAGCTATGCTCAGAGGCAAACTGTGAATCCTGGCAGAGCTTTTAAAAAGACTTTGTAACTCATACTTGGAGACATCCTTAACCAGGTTATTTGGGGAATGAGGGAATCCTGTTTTCCACTGGGATTGTTTACACATACATAAACCAGTGGCAATGGTTTTACTAGATCAAATACGCACAATATTTTTTTGACCATGGGGTTTTGAAAGAAGGAGGTTCAGAGCAATAGGTGAACAGAGCAAATGGGCAGGGAGTTCATGAGGTACAAAGTTATTTGGTTAAAAATGGTATATTGTTCCCAAACAGAAATCTCATTCATTGAGCCAACTGTTCATTGCAATTTTGACTTCTTGGTTTCTGAATCATCTGTGAAGCAACTGCAGTAATTGTTTGGGGTTTGGGTGTTGGGGTTTTTTTCATGTATCTATTATTTGCCAGTATTATTTTGGTCACATTTCAGTCTGCGGCTGACATTTCAAATAATGGAATAGTAAACTGTGACCTTCCAGGATGAATGCTCCCTCCAACAAGGACACCTCTTAAATGTTTGGAACTGCATAGATTTACTGTTAAATGCTGTCTTGCATCCCAAAACTATACTTGGTCCAAGCATTTTTCTCTATTTAAAATCCAACAACAGCAAAAAAAGTTGAGCTTGCAATGTCTTCAATTGAAAAGCACATTATTTCAAAGATGGAGTGTTTTCAGCTTTTGAGGAATGGGATGATGTGATAGCTTACACCATGGTTTATACTTTAACATTGGAAACATCACCAAAATTAGGAAATATTTTTTCAAACCTATTTTGTGGCTCAAACAGCCTATCAATTCATGGGAAAACAACCTCACAGAAGGGTTTTTGAGCGCCTTCTTGTTCACTGAATGGAAACAACTAAGGAAAAAGCAGAAGAAAATTGTTTATTGATATTAGGAACAGGGCAGAAGGCTGTTTTTTGTGGAAATATTAGGAATTCTCTGTCTCACACACAAGCACACACATACACATTATTTAACCAGTTATAGATATAACCAGGGTATAAATTTTATTTAATGTACACCTTGTAACAGAAATTAAAACTTTTAATCATCCTGACTTTTCTCTATACTTCTACATTGACTGACACTCAATCGCTGTGCAACCAGGCAGCGTAGAAACTCTGCTGCTCTCCATTTTCCCCTAGCTATGGCTCAAAGTACGGAGGTCAGCTTCGGTATAAAAACCACCGCGTTATCAATACAATTCTACACTACGTACAATATGGAAGTAAAATTTCTCGCATCAATATGCATCGTGATTTCTTTTGACGTCCCTTGGGATTGCCTTCATTCTCTACATCACAAATTATCCCAAGGGAGTGAAGATAATACTGTTTTCACCGTTACGGATAATTGATTGCTGCTCGGTCACACATAGCAGCAGAGGCCATGTGGGCTGGCAGTCAGTCCCCTGGGCAATGGACCTCCTGGGGCCTCTCCTAGGACATTGTTTTGGACAGTACATGTGGGGACACGCTGTTTCGCAAAGGCACACATTCTCCACAGAAGCCGTTGGGAGGTTTCGACAAGGAGGATTTAGCAGCATGTAGATAAGGAGGGATATTAGTCTCACGTCAAATTTCTCCATAGCCTGATGGTGAAATTTCCAAGAGAGCCCCTTGGGGACAGTTACACCATGTTGTTTCTTAGAATAACAACGCAGTTGTTGGTCACTGATTTCATAACACAACAGTGATCATGCCAAGTATATATAGGACTCTTAAACTCAACAACCTGGTAGTGAGTGCATGGCAGCGCTCACTTCATACCCCTGGCTAGATGCTTTTAAAAGTGCAAATCCAGAATTTATCTTTTGATTTGGTTAAAGCTTATTAATGTTTGTTAATAAATCTGAGAACTGATTGCCCTTTCTGACTACTTTACGCTGCTCTGGGGAGCTGAGCTCAAGCCCAGAGACGAGTAGTTTAGCCATAGGTGAGAAAGGAGTGGGCTTGGGTGATTCACCTCTCTGCTGGAGGGAGTTGGCTTCTTGCTAAAATGCCTCCAGTGTGAATAATATCTGAATGCCGCCTTGTATAAAAAATGTTTCTGGTAAAAACCTGCGCCTGTTCATCCACTTTAAATCTCCCTTGTCCTTTCGGTGTGCAATGAGCAGCTGGGCTGGCTCCTTTCTGCTATAGTCAAACACAGGCTCATTTTCTTTGGGGTTAAACTGACATCACCCACACAGGTCTCACCCAGATCATCTCATGTTTTAGAAATGGTTTCTGATGTAGCATGCCAAGACCCCACAGTGGATAAGCTTGAAAGACTCCCCTATAAATTCTGGTCCAGACGAAGGTGATGAAGGTAGAAGGAGCCTGTTGAGGAGACAAGAGCTACCTGGGACATTAGTTCCAGGTCCCATTTGGGGATGTAACCACGAAATAATACAGTGTCATCATTTCCACTGCTTTACTTTCAAAGTGTATTGGTGGATGCCTGGAGTCTGTCTTTCTGTTTCCCAGAAGAGTATAAAAGACTTTAAAGGATTTTTTTTTTAATATCTTCATTGTCTTTACAGTAACCTTAATTATAAAATGTGTTCCATGCAATAACTTGGTGGTTTGGTGCTTCCACAGCAGTGTGCTAAGGTGATCATATAGCTCTCTCTTCAGTGTGCTGAGGACAGGGCTGGGGGAGCTGAACAGTTAATTCTTCTCTCTAATGAATACTTGAAAACCACTTTGAAAATCCTTCTTCTGTTTCAGCTGATGGGATGTTTGGTATTTACCTTATGCCAAACCTTTGTTTCCTTTTCTTTTCTTTGCAAGGATTATGAGTACCCTCTTCATTCTCACAGTTCCCACTACCAGAAGAACGACCGCTGTCCCCCACCGCCCCAGACTTTGCCTGACCAAGCCTGCGAGGTGCCCAGCTGCCGGTCGGATTCAGAGTGTGAAAGGCACAAGCGCTGCTGCTACAACGGGTGTATCTATGCCTGCCTGGAGTCCGTACAGCCACCGCCAGGTAGAGTGGGCCCGGTGATCAGTCTGGTAGAGAGAAGCATGCAGAAATGATGGTAGTCATCCCCATGTGCACTGGGTCTCGGGTAGAAGGCATGGTTTGAGTGTGAGTTGAGAATAAAGCTTCAGTTCCACACTTCTGATTTCTGGGATGATTGCTGAATTGAAAAATTATCTGAGGCCAGCTGGTGTAGCAAAATTTCCACCAGCAAAAATTGTAGAAATCACTTGAGGCCAGTTCTTTTCCTGGGATTATATGTTCGGGAAAAGAAGTAATCCCAATCTGAAGCAGTGCTCACAGAAGTGAGGCAGACATCTCATTTGCTCCATGCCATGGGAACGGAGGATGGAAAACAGCGGCTGCCATGGCCTTTATGACACCAGGTTTTTGTGGCCCTGGATAACATCCATGGCTCTCTTGCCACTGGGACAACAAGAGCATGAATATAAGTATCTTGCCGAAAACTCAAATCCATCCTTCAGGAGCCTGGCAGCCTTGTCACTAGCTGTTAGAGGAAATCTGTGACTTTTCCATAACTCTGTGCTCTATGGCTACTCCACCTTGACTCTGTGGTTTCTTGTTTCTGTCTTTCACAGTTTTAGACTGGTTGGTTCAGCCCAAACCCCGCTGGCTGGGAGGAAATGGGTGGCTTTTGGATGGCCCAGAGGAAGTCTTACAAGGTACAGTACATTTTGCTGTCTTCTCTGCAATATGGGTAATTATACAAAGGCGCTAAATAATATATTCATCATATACAGGGCTTGCCAGGGATGTCGGGATGCTGGGGCTGCTGGTATTCGTCTGGGGCTTCTGTAAGAATAATACTGTGTGGTGCTGGGGGCCAGTTTCTGGTGCAGTAAATCAGTTGCTTTTTATGGATATGGCTTATCCAGCAGAGCACCAGGAATGCTCCAGGGAACTGGATTTGTATCCATTCTTGAAATAAGTAGAAATACATTTATTTTTTAGAAAAAGGTTTTGTCAACATACACATATTTTCTGCCAGCTTCCTGATAGACAGTGGGTGGACTTGGATTAGGAGATCTTTTAATCCAGAGTGGCCTCATCACACAGATGCCTTGGGCTGGGGCTGGGGCTCTTGGGTCTGAAGGCTGCTTTGAACAAGAGCCCTGGCAAACTGCTGAGGGGTTGTGTAAAGATGACATGGAGCTGGGAGCATCTAAGCTTGGGGACTGCTAATGAGATTGGGCTTGTCAGGTTAATTCCATAGGGAAAGGTCTTTGAATTAAGTTTTTCCAATACCTGAAATTGAAACAAGGAGGGAGCGGGGAGGTGGGAAGAGAAGTTTTTTTTCCATGAGACATTTCCAGATGTATGTATGCCTGAAGTTCTTATTTTCTTCATGGAAAGGCTATTCCAGCTTTTGATCAGCTTTAGTCAGACACAGGTAGTGCCAATAAATTAGCCTCTTTGGTCTTACACAGATGGTATCAGACTCGCCGAACCTTGACTCTCATCTATTATGGAAACTCCTAGTTCTTCAAGAGAAAATTCTGCCTCCAGCTCCTTGGAGTTGCACTGCTAGAAATAAGATAAAATAGGTTCCTGCTCATCTGTCCTTGTCATGCTTATATTATTTGTTCTTATCTTAACACCTTCATCTCAGCTTGAGGGAGTAATTAGTGAAATAAGAACCATCAGTCACAGCATGAGAATTATAGCAGAGGTCCTTGAAATTAAAACCCTGGCAAATGAAAGGAGGGAGTGTCCCTGCATAGTCTGTACATTTAATGGACACAAACACTGCCTATAAGCCCTGCTTTACTTTCTTATTCTGCTCTGCACTTGCTGGATATCCAGGGTCAAGGTGGTTAAAGCCTCCATTCGTAACAGGAGCTGGTACTGCCTTACTCCATAGTGAGTCACACCTGAGGTTTAAATTCATCAGTAAGTTAATGGGTGTGGAGCAAAGAACAAAGCAGCAAACTGCCAGCTTCCTGGTCACATTTCCCGGATTCCTCACCCAGCCCAAAACACTGGCTGGAACAGACTTATGACTGCTTGGAGGGACCAGCTGTGTGGAGGGACCACCCATCTGTGCAAGCATGGTGGGCAGCAGTGGTCCATCTTCACTGCTCTCCAGCCCTTGTGCAGACCCCGCACAACAGGCTGTGGGGAGGGTGTCGGTACAGGTAATCGGGCTGACCTGCACTCCCCACATCAGGCTAGACACGTCAGTTTTTGTGTGAGGTGTGAACTGGATCACCTGCTCTGCCAGGCTTCTTTGGAGGTGTTAGCTCCTTGGTACCCTTGCACGGGAAGTCATCTGGGATGCTGTCTGGGAGGAGACACAGGAGAAGGTGGCCGTGTTGTCATATTTTGGTTACCTATAAGTGTTAAAGCCATTGTTTATGACCTGCAGTCTTCTTTTGCAGCTGAGGCCTGCAGTACCACTGAGGATGGAGATGAGCCTCTGCATTGCCCCACAGGCTATGAATGCCATATCATCAACCCGGGTAACACGGCTGAAGGAATCCCTAACAGGGGCCAGTGCATCAAGCTCCGTGGAAATCCAGGTGAACTGACTGGAAATCTCCCTTCCTTTCTTGTTCTGTCATGCAAACACCAGTAAGGGACGGTGCATTCCCACTGGCTTTGAAGGAGATCTGGTGGTACATCTGCTCTCATCGGCTTCCTGGGGTTTCTGGGCAGCCCAAGGCGCCAGGGCAGTGTGCGGCAGCAGGGCTGGGAGACAGGCCCTACTCTGCAGCAATCTCCAGTCTCTAACGCCCTCGATGTTGGCTGAGCTATGTGAAATACCCAAAGCAGGGGACACACTTCACATTTGTTCTGTATGCCAGTGTCCTCTAGGACTGTGTAAGCAGAGCAGGTAGTAACCTGCATGTGGTATCATTACTCAGCACAAAACCCAGAAATACTTACAAATTACTACACACTTAACTAAGAAATACAAATTTCAAAATCCAGTTTTGACTTCTGACTTTGCTTTCTGTATCCAAAACATTGTTCCCTTTATTCTGCTGACACGTTTGCCCAATAAAGGACCTTATATAGGCTAAGCTATTTTCCAGGAAAGCTCATAACATGTCTAGGTATGTGTGACTTCATTGAATAGTAGGATATGTATGTCTGCACTGGGTTACAAATCATCTCAGTGTAGAGACTCAAGACATCAGTTTTGCCATTTGGTCACTGTAAAAGCCAGGGGAAGTATCAAACCAGATCTCTGAACTGCTTGCGTAAAAAATGAAGATTTTTTTCAGGGCTTTTTGATCACCTCTTTTATACTTTCATAACTTTTTCTTTAATAACTTCTGTATTAACTAATGTAATGTATAGCTGTGTGGTTGTTAGACACAAGGTATTTCTAAGAGCTTAAATAATTATATAAAAGGTAAACAGAAAAACCTAGCTGGAACTTGAATTATATAAAACACTAATAGATGATCTGAAATTCTACCCAAATTTTCTTTCATTTGAGAAGGTCTGCGATTCCTTGACTCATAGCTACTGAAAAGAACATAACATGCTAGTGGCCAGCAGTTAACCACTCTCAGGGAAAGTGAGTTGTGTCCACATAGTTCAATAATCTAAACAGTTTTATAAGAGGTTTATAGCAGCTGACACTACTTCAGGTACAGAGATCTTTTATTTCCCTGTTTGTGAGGTTATTATTTCCATATCTATAATTTCTCTGTGCTGTACACAGAAGGCCAGAGCTTGACACAAAGAATGAAGGCTGACTGGATATGTTCTCATTACGTGCCTTCTTTTTCAGATGGACGCAACCTGAGGCATAAGTATTACAAGGAATATTTTGGTAAGCCGCTGGCATGAAGTGTTTGCTATTATTAAGCTTTATAGTTATTGCATTGCTTACAAAGAATTTGTTTTTTACAGGAAGCAATTCCAACAATGTGGTCGGCTATGTGAAAAACCAGCAGAAGCATTTAGGCTAATCAAAGGTGTGCCCAGGTAAGTGTCCTGTGAATAAAGGGAAAGCTGGGTGAAAACAGTTGGTGCTTAGTACGCAATTATTTAAAGAAATGGTTGTTTGAGGGTGAAATTACCTCTCATCAAAATGCCAGTATAAGGACAGCACTTAAAACTGTGTACAGGTGCATCCCTCAGGCTCCATGAAACACCTATGCTGGCAGATGCTGCTGTAAAAGTACCCCGAGAACCTGTGGCACTGGCGATTGAGCTCTGCAAACTGTCCATGGAGAAGTTAATGTCTTTCCCAACTCTAACTCTTCCCCTCCCACTTTTTATTCTAATTTCACAAGGTGCACCTGATATCTTTGAAGAACCTTTGCCTTGTGGGTGTTTAGAGGATTTTCAGGATGAAAAATAAATGCAAAACTTTGTGTGCCTTAAGACTTTAAACCTTCTCTTTAGCGCTTCTTCTAATGCAGGTATAACTGCTCCTGCAAGACAAATTAAAAAGCTCTTTATTCTGTACTGATTGCAATAAGAGGCAGTCTTGCAGATACTTAGGCACATGGGTGATTTTGTGGGGTAACTTTATGTGTGTGAACAGTTGCATTGAACCGTGTGACCCACTCATGTGTGTAAACGTACATGTATCTGGCCAGAGAGAAGCCAACTGAAAAAGCTCCAGTCGTTTTAACAGGCTTTGAATTAGGCAAGAATGAAAATATTTGTTATACCAAAAGTTCTATCTCAAGATGGTTTTCTCAACACTTAGCTTCACTTTAAAACTAACTTGAGCTTAACTGGCAGTTATGAAAACAAAGCAGCTCAGTGTGTCTTTTAGGTACCTACGTCAGGCTGATTTAAGATTACACAGCCACATAAGGACAAGTTCTGCGCAAACATCCCAGGGAGGATAAATATTTTAATTCCTCTTTTTTGTTTGATTTTCACCCAGCTGGACTGCTCTCTTAAGCAGCTGTGAAGGAATGCTTTGCCCAACAGTTTTCTCTTTTGGAAGAACTCTGGTCCTAAATCTGGTCCCCTAAATCTCCATGAGCATGTCTCCAGCATTACCCTGATCCCTGTCATCGGTGATAAAAAGACTTCGCTATTCAAGGAACAGGATGAGTCTCGATTTTAAGCCTATCAGGATTAGGAGAAATGTGATCCCCTGAAAGAAACCACACCATTTATGAGCTGCCTTTCTACCACTGAAATGCAAATACCTCCAAGCGGATCCCTGTAAGCCACAGTGCCATTATCAGGCTGCTGGAACACAGCCTGCCCTTTATGTGCATGTTATGTGACCGATTCAGATTTCACGACCATGAACATAACTCAGTATTACAAAAATGAAGTGACGTCAGAATTGTACCTAAATATCATATCTAAGTTGCATCAAAATAGGCAAGACTGTAAGACTAAAGGGGTTCTCTGGATCAAATCCAGTGCCTGCCTATCTCAAACAACTACTTTAAATAAGCCTTTTCATAAGCTTAAAGTTCAAAGAAACCTACAGGTTTCTTCTTTTCCTACTTATAACTAGGGTTCACCAGGTTTGACACCCAGTATACAAGCCTAAACCTGAAATCTTAAGAATCTGAGGAACTCTGAGCTGGGAGCAAAACAGGTTTTCTAAATTTTTTTTTTTAAAGTTACTTTCCTTTAGCTTTGCAGTCTGGTGAGCTGCAGATTGAGAGCTAATGATGGAATAGATTCCTTTCTACAGTATCTAAGCAGGCACACATGCGTGCCAGTCTTTTTAAGTTGTTGTTTTTAGCCAGCACAGTTAATACTCGCATAACATACATCTGCATTTTTGTACCTGCAAAACCTCAGCAAGAGGGCTGAAGTCTGGATTATGTGTTGCACATATTAGAAAAGCAAAAGCCAGATAAATTTTTGTGATTAAAAGTATTACCTGGCAGATGGGCCACTGCCCTTTAGAAGTCCTGTACCTTTATGTTAACTTCCATAAATCCTTAAGGTCAAGTTATTTGTATTTGGGTCTTACAGCTTCTTTTAACTGTTTAGCATTATAAAATGGAAAACACATTTTCTATGAATGTTTTCCTTTTCTGTGGCAGTCCTAAAGGGACAGTTGCATTTCATTTTCACAAATCTGCCAGCATTGCTAGGTAAAAGAAGCCGTCTTCGCTCCCTTGTTTAGTACATGTCCTTATCTGCATGCATAAAATGAACATTTCAATATGCAGAGTAGTAGCAGTGTATATAAATACCCAATTCACAAGTACAAGTGCCTGCTTCCACCCACAAACTAAGGGATTTTTCTTCCACTCACCAAATGGTTTAAGCTGAAGCTAAGATACCTATAAAACACTTGATACCTTGCATATGACATTTGCAGCTGGAGAGATGAAAGATGCCAAACTGCTCTTCTGTTTCCTATCATAAACAGGCACACTCCTTGATGATTTACAGAGCAAAGGAACAGATGAAGGGCTCCACATTTTCCTAAATTTGTTGAACTCCGTTCACTTCTTTGTGCCTTTGTTCCAAGTTCTAGGTATTAAATGCAATACCATATTCAGACAGATCTATTTCTAGAATTTTATCATCTACAACTTCATACAATGATATCTTAACTCCTGCTGAGAGACAGGAGTCCAGCCACTTTTTATTGTTCCAATCTCAGTTTAGGCCAGAAACTTGCCGCTTTGCCGCTGACATTACTTGACAACTTAAAGCAACGCAGCTCATAATGAAAGTCTTAATGCAGCCATGCTCCTAGGTGCTGCTCAGTGAAATGGACTGATTTTTTTCAGCATTACTTTTTGCAGAAAAATCAAATTCTGATGAAATGAACAAAGCCCTTCAGTGATTTCTGCTAAGCCCCAAAGAGTAAATGCCAAAGTGTTCTGTTTTAAAATAAAAGATTCGGCACCTAAAAACCTGTGAGAATCTAGTTGAAAAACTTGTGTTGAGCATTAACAAATTTGCAAGATTAGAACTTCAGATCTCAACCTAATCTTGCAAAGCATCCAAAAATATGCTTCATTTGAGTGGGCACACTCACTTCAGCGGCTGCTTTTTTATAGCTACAAAAGCACATACCTGACCACCTTGCTGGATGGGATGGTAAAGATATTTTCTACTTGCAAAAGGAATTTTTAAAAAAGAAAACTGACAAATTAATACTTTGTTGATGAATTTCTGTTTACTGGGTGTTATCAAAGACATCACCCTTCCTCATGGTGCTATAATGCTTGGGGTTTTTTTCAAGATATTAATTGTCAAACTCAGAAACAAAAGCCACAGAAGAGGCTTGTCTAAATGCTGTGGTTTTGACAGTGACATCCATCACATGTTGAAAGAAAAACACAGACCAAATGAGTTGTCCTCAGCTTGTCTTCTCTCCAAAGACAAATGGCTTAACAAGGGTCTGGTGAAGCACGGTAGGAAATCACTAGTGTAGATTGTTTTTAATGTTTGCATGTACACTTTAAAGCATGTTTGGTGCTATAATAAACTTTACGTGCATCAGTGTGTGCTAGCGATGCTCATGGTCTTCCGGATTCTCGAGTGCTGCCAGCGGAGCTGCTCTACCTGGCACCAGCCGAGGATCTGCAGCAGCCCCAGGCAGACCCTTCCCGGTTTGTACCTTTGGTGCTTAGACGTGTACAGGTTCTGCTATTTTGGTGCTCAATAAAAAGTGACCAGTATATTTTTCAACTCTGCCTAGTTTCAGTTGTGTGTTCTTGACATTCACTCGGCTTCGAATAATGAAAAAAAGGACAAATCTTTTAAATTTTAGTTGTTGGGAGAGCTCAGAAAACATAGGCACAGGGAGACAAATGTCATTTTCTCCACTGGAGAGGAGGTGACAGACCCCCAAAACACATCTGTCACCAGTGTCCCCTTTCAGAGGGGCCACCTTTGTGGGTCAGATGCTCACTCAGTTCTTGGTGCCTTCCTTTCTATTGCCCGAAGAGGAGCTGATGGACAGTACTGTAAAGAGGATAGTGATGGTGACCCATTGTCACCGTTTAAGGCTGGGCCGGCTCTTAAAAGGGGCGGCAGACGCTCTCTGTTAATCCTTTCCTCCCCCCGGGAAGGGAAAGGACAGAGAAAAGGGAGACTGACAGGTTGGATATTAAAACAACTTTAATAATGCAATAATAATGAAAAACAGTATAATGATA